GAAACCAAACGAACTTTTCCTTTGGACTACTGTTCCTTACTTCAAAACAATCCTTTCTTAGTCTATATATTCAAGGTTCCTTTGATAGTAGAAAGTAACAGTGTTTCAAAGTGAGGCCAATTACTGTTATTTTTTTTTTAATAACAATAATCATGTGTTTATATACAACCAGACTTCAATGTTGCATCCTTGCAAGTAAAGAAATAAGCATAATATAAATATGACTGTGGGCAAATACTTCAAAAAAAGAAGGAATTAATTACATCTTATATATTCATACAGTTACATATAAAAAGCAAGACAAGATTTTTCATCTAAACATCAAGATAAAAGAAATAACTTAGTTATATAATTCAGTACATACTTAATGCACAGTGTGCTTTTATATTGAAGTAAGAATATTTTTATTGAATTACCATCAAAAATTTTCAAGTAAAATCATATGTCTGCCATTTTTCAAATCTATATAATTAAACTCTGAATTCTAAATAATAACAATAATAACTTAAAGATGTGTTTCTCAGGGACAGGATCTCTCTTATTCAGTCCTATAGATCTCAGTTGCTCATCCTACAGACAATGTCCCATGAATGTTGCTGAAATAAACTGAATTGTCAGCTAATACTTCCAAAGATTTAAGCCGGTCTGATCTTAGTATTTAGGAAACTCTCTACCATATGAAAACCCTCTTAACACATTATAAAACAATAAAAGCAGAGGACTCTGCTGGAAGATCGACATGACTCCAGTCTGTCTAAATAGTAAATTGTAAGTGACTTCAAACTCTCAGCTCTCTCCTAAAACATTCATTCCCCACCCCTTCCCTCTCACCTGTCATGCTTCCTCACTTTGCTACCTTCAGAAAGTATTTCAAGAGAACTTGAAATAAAGTACAAAGGACCACCACCCCCCCCTTCCTCAACTCCACACTGACTATCTCTGCCACTTCTATGTCACAAAGCAAGGGTTCCTAGCTCTCCTGTGATGGATATTCAGCCCTCTTAATCTTGTTTCTGCCTGGATGATAATGCATCTCAAGATAGATGACAGAAGACAGATAGATGGAAATTTTCCTGTCTAGACCCACCATCCAGTAAATATTTATAGTATCCTGAATATTAGTAACTCTTAAATCCACATCTCTGAATCTACCTCTCCCTTTGCTATAACCTTTAAAAATAAAAGTGCAAGTGAGATCTCACCCTGGCTATCCCAAGCAGTCAAACTTTTCAAAGTCCTATTTTAGAGACAGAAGACTAGTGTAAATACAAAAGGAAGGGTCCCCCTTTTAAATCAGTCACCAGGGCTGATTTTCCCTTTCCAGTATTTCTCCAGGTCTGCCCTCCAACCCCCCCAGCTTTGGCTCAGGTCTCAATTAGCTCATGACGGAACTCCAGCTTTCTCTCTGCCTTAACATTTCTGGCATTCTGAAACATCCTCCACATAGCAAATCCATCTTTCAGCTGTCCTTGGTTTGATATCTCTATGTAGAAGATTACGGAGGCTTCTGGTAATTTGAGCTCCTTTTAATTTCAAGGCCTTTTCATAATTATACTTTCTCTAAATATCCTAGTCACTACCCTCAGGCCTGCTGTGTTCCACAGAAGCTTATAGCCTCTCTCCCTTTGCACTCATATGGCTCCCTCCATATAACATCCCTCTTGTTAGCTGCTGAGATTACTGGAATTCAGAATTCACTCTCCATAAAACACTCCAATTCCAAACTTCTTAAACCATACATGTTTCTCCCCATCCTAAACTCCATCAAGGGGTGTGTGTGTGTGTGTGTGTGTGTGTGTTAAACACCTTGCTGACTGGTCACGAGATAACTCCTGTGTGCACTTACATTAAGTAATTTTTTTTTAAACACCTTGCTGACCAAAGTAGCTGGCCACATGGTTAAGTTCTGGCTTAAAATAACTGGTCAGCAAGGCGTTAAAATTGATCAAAAACATCTTGTCCTTATTAATTTGATGCAATTTGAATATCTGCTATAACTCCATCGCTTGCTTTAGAATTTAGGTAAGTTAAAATTCTATACAATTGCTTTAGCTTTGGGGGAAATTTTATTATACCTTGTTTATGTGATTATCTGGTATTCTTTAATTTACTGATTTGCACCCTAAGAGAGATTGTTGTAGACTACAACTTCCATTAAGGGAGGGCTTGCATTGCCTAGGAGAGTGCTCCTGTCCAGTTTTTTCAAACTACTGATGAAGAGGAGGCACCTGATATGACTTAGACGAAATATGTCATTTACATGGAAGCTGCAAAAAATTGAGAGTCGTGTGTAATATGAAATGTCACTCCATTCAATAAACAAGTTCCCCGGCTCTCACTGTTACCTTAGTCTGGGCTCCAGAACTTTTACAGCTTCCTAGATTAGTGACTTTTCCCTGCAGCTTTTCCTAATAGCCCCGCGCCGAGTGCCACAATTCACAACACTCCGGCTCAGCAAACTCTGTTCCAAAAGTTTAAAGAAAGCATTCACGATTATGCAAGTGATATTTATAAGGCAAGTACCAGCCAGTCCTCCAGGGTTGAAATTCAGCACCTTTACAGACCTGTCTCCAAGCCCCCTAAACCTTGGCTGTTTACACCAAAAGGACTGGCGCCACGGTCCCCTCTCCTTTATACTCTTATCACCCCCTCCATGCATCATTCCTCTGGACGGCTACAGAAACCACCCGAAATTCAGAGCTGCGCTATTCCCAGGGGTGGGCAGGCTGGGTGCCCCTCCCAGGATAACGGCCCCTTTTCCAACCTGCCTTTGATGGCCGCTGTCCAAAGTTCCACAGCCGCAAACTTGGGCGCACGGACTGCAGGGGCTCCTGCGCAGCACCCCCACCTTTTAAAGGCCTGTGCCCCCACTTCAGCGCCCCCCTCTCGGTGACCCGGGGACGGAACGCAAGAGAGCCGCACCTTCCAGGCTGCGTGCTGAGAAGCCTGCTCCCACGGCCGCGCAGAGGTGGGTAGCTGTGTTCCAGCCAGTTGTTTTCACAGCTGGCCCCGTCCATCATCCTCTCCTAAAAGCTTATTTGACAGGTGAGAAATTCCTCGTCTCCAGATTATTCCAGGAACTCCTCAGCATCAGTCTGAGCTAGAGGGGGCCCCGAGTGGAGGGAGCGGCCGGCACCGTGCCCAGCGCGCCCGCCCGGGGGGACCGGCGCAGGAAGGAGGGCAGCGCCGGGAAGGTGCTGTCAGGGGGACAGCGGGGAGACCGGGAGTCTGGGGGCAGGGAACGGGCAGGACACCTGAAAGCGTCCCGAGGGGGATGGCAGCGGGCGAAGAGGTTGCGGGCTGGAGAGAAAGCGGGACTGTAGGACGCGCAAGGGGGAGCTGGACTCCAGGGAGCGCGGCGCCTCGCAGGCGGCCGTCCAACCCCGGCGGGGTC